CCTGCACCAGGACATCATGAAACTGAAGTCCCAGAACAGCTCCACCCTTCTGCCTCCTGCACAACCAGGAGTGAAGAACATTTGAATTACCAAGTTCGAGCAAACGACTCTGCAGTGTCTCCTGTCAGCAAGGGGACCAGCAGAGAGCTGTTCACAAAACTAAGACTCCTCTTTGAGGAAACTGTTGCAGAGTAACAAGGGAAGTATTTACAACAAACAAACATCCCATCCTAGGCAGATCCCTGCTCTTCTCTAGTGCTACAGGACTTTGACAGAATAACAACTCCATTGGAGTTCTGAATGCTTTAAACTCACTAAGAGGAACATAAGCACTACAGTGACAAATCCCAATACAATTCCTTTAGACTAAGAAGGAAGAAAAACCAACCAACTTTAGTCAGGATCTAAAACATCCTTTCTAGCTGACATAGCAAAACAGGGACTAAAAGGCATCAACAACTAGCTATGCAAAGCATCGATACTTTCAGCTAGTAATCCATATAAAATGAATAAATAATTCATAATTACACATGTAGTGTACACCATGCATGTCAAGAGGGGTTCCAGAGAGAGAAGCAAAGCGTGCTCTGCTCTCTAAAAGCAGAAATCCTCCAGTTATTACTGTCTCTCTGGAAAGCCTCTGGACTGCAGAGACACAACTGAACCTCCATTTACAGCTGCAAAGCCACATTAGATATTCTTCCCATGGTGTTTTACAGCCTAGATGCTAAAATACAGAGGGAATGCTCTGAGAATGCCCTGGTACTGTAGCCCAGTACTAGCACAGGTGCATCACAAAGTGTAGAAAGCAGGATTCAGTCCCAGGGAACTGGAGTTCCTTGCTCACTCTGACCCCTCTGGCTTTGCCCCCACACGCAACACAAGCCATCTGCACTGAGGCTCTTGTAAAGCAACAGCTGGGATCTTGTTCCTTTGGCTTCCAGTGTCCAGCTCCTTCCCTTTGGTGCTCAGATCACCCAGCTGTCAAACAGGCAGGAGCTCGGGAGGATATTCACCGTAGCAGTATTTGGCAATTGGGTCTCTGTAGGTGTTCTCATGCTGCACACTCTGCCAGGGAGAGGAGGAAAAGCTGTAACAACACACACACACATCCCTTCACCCAGGGCCAGAACCCCACAACACTGATTTCCCAAATTCTTCTACACACTGGTGTTACCACCTGGAGTCAGACAACTCTGTATTCCCAACATAGAAGAGACAGTTGCTAAATTACAGCACTTTAATGTTGCACCATACCCAGAACCTCCTCTTCAGGAGACTACTCAAGTGAGGATAGATTATATACAAATATATATATATATATATATATATGCTTAGGCAGGATCACCAGATGTCCTAAAGCAAGCAAGGCACAATAAAGTTGCTAATTGAGATGTGTGCATTTTTCTTGATAAAGCCAGAGTTCAGATACTATGGTTAAACACCCACCCCCTCAAAATCAGCTTTGGAAACATTTGGAACTATATCCTTTGTTTGCAGTCCATCCCTATTGCTACATTAAATACTCAAGCTGCATAAGATCACCAGCAGCACTTTCTAAGAGAAGCCAGGGTTTGCTTAGACCAAAATTAATTCTCAATAAAATCACACGGGTAACAGAAGTTCACCTCTGTTCTTAAAACAAACACATGTCAGCATATGGTGAGTCTCCAACTGTACCATAAAATAAATAGCATTTTGAAGCTACTGGGAACAGCTCTCACTGCTCTCATCCTTATTAGATGTCCCTCAGAACTCATCCAAGACCTGGTCATTGAGCTCTTTTAGTTAAGCAACTCTTTTCTGAAGCGAGTGTGCACCTTGTCCTGCTCTAAACATGCACTTTGCCTGCAGATGAGCTCCCAGCCACAACTCCAGTGTTTATGAACACACCTGTGGACGTACAAGCACAACACACAAGACCAAACGCATTTTTCAAGGGCACTTCTCTGGGCCCTGGACACATCCTTGTGGCCTACCTGTGATGAAGTCCTACATTTGGCCAGACACAGCTCAAAGTGATCCTCCACTGCCATGAAGAGGTTTTGGAAAGCAATGGCTGCTCGGTTCAGGAAACGCTCCAGGAGGTGTTGCTAAAGCAGTCAGCAAAAAAGACAAAACAGTGCTGTCCTTCAACAAGGAGTGACCAAAGCCCACCCTCACCTAAACAACTCAGGTATCAGAGGAGGAGTAAGCAGCTCCACTTAGGATTTCTAGCACTGAAGGGCCAATCCCTCATAAACCCCAGCAGTAGGAAGAGAACTTAGAGAAGCTCACAGGATACAGGATAAAGTGCCAATTACAAAACTGGAATAGCTTTCTCTGCAATTATTTCCCTCCAGCAAATGCAACTGCCCTGAAGCTGAAACACTTTGCAAGGCTCCCAGTATTTCCCTTCGGAGGCGGGGAGGATGAATTTTGTTAAAGCTTTATTTACAGCTTGCCTGAGAGTCCCTGCAGGCTTTCCCCATCCTTCCAAGAAAAGGAACTGTCCCCTCTAAGGGAAAAGCTCCTCACAGAGCAGCACTTTTAGGCACAGAGGAACCTGAAGAGTGGGAGGAGGTCCCTTCACCTTGCTGGGCTGGAGGCAGCAGGACACGCAGTACTCGTAGACGCTGCAGCAGCCGTTGGGGAGGCAGCTCTCACAGCTGAACAGCTTCGTGCTGGGCACGTGCACATCACAGCAGCCATTCACCAGCAGGTCCTTCCTCTCACAGATGTACCCTGGCAACAACAGCAGGAGTAACAACAGCAAGACATACTCCTTAAAGCCACAGTAGGAGTCACATTACTTAAGAACAGGTTTATTTATCAGTTAGTAGGTTATGATCCCCCTCTGTCTGGCAGTAGCAATTCTTTGCAACGACACTTGGATGTTTCAAACAGCCAGGTGTAATCTGCACAACTATTATGTACCTACTCTAGTATGTGCTGTATGTACACTCTGAGTGTTCCAATGCAGGATTTCTAAGTCCTGATTTCTTTTTGGCATAATTCCCTGTTGTGAAAGGGGAAGGGGATTGGTGATGATTGTACTGGAGAAAACACTGTGACACGTGTTCTTTCAGCAAGTCTGTGTCTGGATAACACCCCTTACAGTTCAGTATGAAGGGACTTAGATTCATCCATGCAGGATAGCTGTAACACTCATGGCTGAGTGAGGAACCATCAGCAGTACAGAGCCATGTGTATGTCCTTATGGAAACTCCCACCACAGTGTCAGACTGTGAGAAAGACTGACATTTTTGGAGACCTCAGGAACTGGCACCAAGCATAATTCAGGCAGTGCCAAATTTAACACTGACGCAAATCGCAAAAAAGATGTGGTGGGTTTTCCACAGCCTTGATTTCTGGTCAAGAAAGATCCATTGCCTGAGCAACAAGCACAGCGGGGAGGCACCTGCATAGGGTAAGAAAGGATCTTTAACACTTAAAACAAGTGGTTAATATCCTTGGGTTTCAAGGGTCAGATGAGCTTGTTAACTGTGAACTAGCACTAATTACACATGTCCTGAGCTGCCTCCCTACAAGGCCAGTAGGGTTTCCTCAATTACTCTCCCTAACACCTCTGACAGTAGGAACACTGCAGGGAGATACCAACAGCTCTGCAAGCAATCGCAGTAAATGGAGCAGGACTCAATGTGTGTGTTCTGGGCAAAGATAAGCGGGATTCTTTGACTCTGAGGTGGCCCTGGGAACAGCACAGCCACACTCATACAGCCCTGTGCCTGAGCTGAGCCTGCACAGAACCAAATCACTCTGCATGCAGCCACAGGGAAATTCACCCAGCCAGGGGAGAAAATGCCAATGGCTGAGTAAAAAAACCGCCGTAATAAAGAGCAGTTGTTACTTGGAAGTGCCACAGACAGACAGGCAAAGCAGCGTTCAGCACTGCCATACGCAGAATAAAGTCTTAGTATCAAACATACCCAGTTCATCTGTAATGAGGAGCTTCCCCTGCACAGAATTCCTGCACTGGTTACTCAGCTGGCTGCCGTTGCCCGGGCTGAACTTCACCTTCCAGAGGATGGGCTGCTCGTGCTCCTGCACTTGGAGGAGATTCCGATCTCTCACCATCCTCTCTTCCTGCAAGGAAAGACAGTCATGCAACCAAACATACGAGTTCCTTCTGCCACTTCAATCCACGTGCTCTTGCCACAATTAGAAATGCCTCGTAGTTGTAAACTCCACAGCACAGCAAACTCCAGCACCAGTGGAGTAACCAACATACTACTTGTAGTAGCTTACTCTGTGCAATACACAGGAAGATACACAACCCAGTACAACAGGGGCGTGTAAATTCACCAAGAGATCAGCCAACACAGCTGAACTTGGTCACTGCAACCACAAAAGTGGTATAAATTATCTTAAATTACCACAGCTGCACGTATGTCTCTCTGATGAGTCCTTTGCTAGTGGCAATACCGCTCACAAGAGATACAACAACCAACAACACTATACAACAAACATCAACAAGCAACAACACACAGCAATACAACAAACAACAGCAGTCCCTCCGAGATTTTCTTTTTCCAGTTTTGGTTCAGAACACTGTCGCTGTCAAACTCTCGTGCGTGCTTAATAATTACGATGTAGCTCTTACGGCAGCATCACTCAGGAGATCAGTGTCAGCAGGTAAAGAACCACAGCGCCCGTGGTCGAAGGGACGCTGTACCCCCCCAGCCGCGCCGGGGCCGCTCACTGACCTGCTTGAAGGTGCTGGTGATGAAGTAAACGAGCGAGAGCCCGAACACGAGGCCGAGGACCCAGCGCTTCCTGAGCAGCCGCCGCCACAGCACGGCCCCGCAGGGCAGCATGGCGGGCCCGGGGGCTCAGCTGCGGCGGGGACCGCCCGGCTCCCGCATCCCCGGCGGGCCGGCAGGGAAAGGCGGCCCCGGCGCGGCCCGAGCGCTTCCGCCGGCACCGGGAGCGAGGCGGAAGCCGCGGCCGGGCGTGCGCGGGGCGGGACCGGGAGCGGCAGCGGGATCGGCATCGGGATTGGGATCGGCACCGGGAGCGGTGGGTACGGGGGCACCTCCCGGGCCGGGCAGGGCCGGCTCCCTCCCCCGTGGGCACTGCGCCACGTATGCCAGCGGGAATCGCATTAACTGGGAAAAAAAGGCCTCGCTTATGTCTGTGCGTGTGCGTGTGCATAGATATATGTGTGTATGCATAGAACTGTATTTATAGATCTATCTATATATCTATAGATAGATATAAATGTGTATATATATATCTGTATACAGAGAGAAGTGTATATAGAGATAGATGTGTATATATCTATAGATAGATACAGATATAGCTATAAATGTGTATATGTATATAGACATAAATGTGTATATAACTGTATATACATATGTGTAATATATATGTATAATATATATAGTAAATACATATATGTAATATATACACATATACGTACATATACATATATATGTATATTATGTACATACTATGTATGCATATATACATATATACATGTACACAAAATATGTATGCATATGTGTATAATATATATGTATAATATAATATGTGATATATATGTAAGCATACATGTGTATATAAGCATATATGTATACATATGTTTGTATGTATAGAACATATGCATATATATATATATGTGTATCTATATGTATATACACATATATGTGTATATATAAGTGTGTATATATACCTCTAGGTTTATATATAGATATCTATATATAGATAGATGTATAGTCGTATGTGTATAGATATATATGTATAAATATGGATATCTATATGAATATAAACTGTGATATATGTGTGTGATAAACATTCTAAGATGTATGTATGTGTGTGTATAGTCTCTGTGCTGTGGTGAAAATGACCCTGGGCATGTGCTTCTTACAGATGTGCTGTGAGCACTGGCAGCCAGGAGCACTGCAGTCATCCAGCTCGAGGGACCTGTGATGAGTTTGAAATCTGGAGCAGCTTGGACTATGTGTGAGCTGTCTGCACCCTCTTGAGCTTCCATCTCTCCCACAGTGGCAGCTGGCACCGCTGGATAAAGCTGTTGTTCAGGTACTGTTAAAACATGGCCAAGTGCAGCAAGATGAAAACCCCTAATCTGGAAAAAGCAGGACCAGTCAGTACTGAAGCTGAGTCCCTTTTGGAACAAAGGCCATTTAAATCTGATCAAACCTGTAGGCCTCTGGGTGGAACAGACCATCACATCTCATGATGTCCTGCACCTTCAGTGCTTGGCATTCCTGTCACTGTCCCCTTCATGGCTGATGCCAAAAGAGGAAGTGTCTCCCCAGGGAGCTGAATGTCCTTGTGCAGAGTGATGTCACCCCACATCACAATCCAGACTTGCAATGGTCTAGGAGGGCGTGAAGGATTTGCCAAGTGCCAGAGTTACCTCTACACTGGCTCTGGCTCTCAGCTTGTAGCATGGGAAGATGGACAGATGTTTTTGATAAGGATTGACCTCAGAGTTGTTTCCAGGCAGGACAGCTCTGCCTGCATGGGCCAGCCTGTCTTGGCCTGTTCATCTTACCTTGATTGCTGTTTCGGTTAAAAAAGAATATAATATTTTATATCAAGTCAACAGAGATATTGTCAGGGTAGGATTACTGCAGGGAAAGCATATAAAAGATTACTGGAATACTAAATGTTGTTACCTCAAATGCAGGTTGTAACAGTTGGAAAAAACCCACAAATCTCTTTTTTACATATAAAACTTGCAGATCCTTATAAAAAGAATTTAGGCTGTGAAAATGCAACACAAGCTAAAACTTATAGCAAGAGATAAAAAAACTGCTGGGAATTACAAGGTAAAAAACTTGTAGTTAGGAGAGTTATTTAAAAGAATATTGTCATGACCTGGTTATATTTTTTCATCAAAGATGTTTATACATTTGCTTTTTTCCTCCCTCTCAGTTTTACAGACCAGGTTTCTGCAGAAGAGGAAGAAGGGGCTTCACTCCGCAGGAGCGATGAGTGGCGTGTCACATCAGGAGCCACCCTGTTAGACGTCCTCAAGGTGTTTCCCAGGACGTGCCATCACACAGCTGGACACTCCTCGTGACTGCCCTGTCCTGCCAAAGGGGACCTGCCTCGTTCCTGCCCTGCTGGAGCCCCGTGTGCTGTGCTGCCACTTCAGAGCCGTTTCTGTGCGAGCGGGCTGAGCCACAGCTGGCAGCCGCAGGGGCTCTGCCGCAGCGGGAGGTGCTTCGTGCCAGCCATGTGCCCAGCTGGGTGGCACCCACAGCCCCCTGACCCCGAGGGCCCGTCTCAGTAGCCACCCTGGGATCTGCTGCCCCGCGCCGTTGATGTTGAGCGTGCTGTGTTTCAGGGTGCTGAGGAAGATGCAGAGGCGGCACAGCAGCAACACAGACAACGCGCCTCCTGAAAGGTACACACCTTGCTTTCAGTTTCCTCTCCGGAGGGGAATGCTCTGATTTAAGTGTGGGGGCGGGGTTTGAGAAGATGGAAACTCAGAACTGAGAAGGACAGAATCCCTGTGGGTGTGGTGTGGCCAGGCTTTCTGCTCCAGTTCAGGAAGTTGGAACACAGATTTACTTTTCTCCCTCGTGTCAGCATCGACTGCTGCCCACCACAGTGTTCCAGGATGATCCAGTATGGCACGTGACGAGCTGGCTTGGCACAAGCAGGGCATTATGGAGCTCTAATATTGCTGCTTTGGTTAAAAAAGAGCGTAATATTATGTATTAACTCAAAAGAAATGCTGTCAGGTTAGGGTTAAATAACATTTAGTGCAGGGAAAGCATAAAAGATTCCTGGGATACTAAGTGTTGTTCCTGCAAATGCAGATTGTAACATCTGGAAAAAGAACGTAATATCTATTTTTTACTGTATAAAACTTATAGATCCTTATGAAAAGAATGTAGGCCCTGAATGATTTGTGGCACAGTCCTGCGGGGATCCTGAGTGCAATCAATCTGCAAGGATCAACCTGTATGAACAGAAACTGTTTATACTCCTGTTATTAAAGTGTTTAAAAAGTTTGCTGGGCTGAAGCTTTCAACGACTTAGTGTTTTATAAAGGGTTTGGGTGATCCTTTCCATGTTCCCAGAGTCTGTATCCAGCTTCATGTATGTGAGTATTTAGATGCAGAATACCCTTAATTCACTTCTGTAATTATAACATCAGCCAGGGAGCCTTGCCACTGTTGTTGTTCTGGTGCTGAGTATTCCCTAGTGCTTTCCCAGAGTTACAGCTTGACTTTTTTTTTTCCTGAAGAAGAAACTAATCTAATTAAGGCTAAGATGGAACTAACAAATTTCATTGCTCTGGCTGAGCTGAGATTATAAGTGAAAGTTTGTTGGGTTTGCAAGTAGAGTTGCACCTTGCTGTCATGACCCCTGCTAGCATGGTGCTGTTCTTAATTTCAGGGGAAAACAAAGCCATCTTCACCATTTTTCTGCATGATGCTGCCCAGGCCTCAGTGCAGTCCGTGGGGTTTGTATCAGCAGACAAGGCTGGGGCTTGAGAGGCACATAAGGTGCTGAATGGGCCTTCTTGTCTTCTGTGCAGAGCTCTCTGAGTCTGCACAAACTTGTAAGACACTTCAGGACCTGTTTGAACAGTCAAAACATATTCAGGATGTGTGTCTGTTCCTGAGTGCAAAAGATAAGCAGAGTAATGTCAGCTGGCTTCTATAAATACTTCTGGGGTTTAACAGGTTAAGTACATGTCATCAGAGAGGCTGAAGGTTTCTAAAAGTAGAACAAAATGCTGTTGCCACTGGTCTTCCCTTCTGGTCAACTTCAGAAGCAGGCTCACAATTTCATCCTTGTTTGTTTTTGAACATGTCCCAGATGAATTCCTTCCTGCTGAAAGCACAGCCATGTCTCCTGGTGTGTTATTCCAAACAATAGTCGTGCCTTTGTTTGTAAATCTGGGTTCCACCCTGTCTGTTTGTTCGTGTTCCAGACCCAAGTACTGTCAACGTTCTGTCCCTGTGCTGTGGATCCATCCCTGGATTGGAATCTGAAGTGTAAAATCCGAGAGGTGGTTGGTGAATGTTTCAAAGCAGAAGGGGGTGTGCCATGTCTCGTTGACTTGGTTCCGTGCTGGAGCCTGTGGAGGGGCGGTGGGAATGGGGTGCAGCTATAAAAAGCCTTATTAGGAGCTTGCCTGGTGGGAAGGTGTGCCCAGGGAGTTTGAAGCTGTCCCCAGAGCGAGGGGAAAGGCAGTGCTCTGTGCCCTGCAAGGGGCCTGGGGAGGCCTTTGAGCCCATGGGGGAGAGAGGGTGCAGGGCCCTGTGTGTTCTGCACGTGCTGTCTCAGCTTGTGATCACTGTTTCTGAAGTTGGAGACCTCCAGGGCTTAAAATCAAGAGAGACCAAAGCCCTGCAACTTGTCTTAATTTGTGGGCTCGGCCTCTTGCTGAGCTTATTTATTCTTTACTCTCCTTTTGCAATTTAGAGAGGTATTTGCTGTCTGCCAGGCATTTACTGCTTAGTGATGGTTCCACTTGTTACCTGGATTGTTCCCTGCCATCTAAACTTGCTTTGTATTCATCTCGGTACCACAGTGTTGAGTTCAGGTGAAGGAAGCCTGTTGTCTTTTGGTGTTAGGAGGAAGCTGTTGAGACTTTTTGGAATCTGGAAAGGATCAGTGCCAGAACTAATTCTCTCCAGTGCCCAGTAATTTGGGTACATCCATGTCTAATTTGCCAGGAATATCAAAACACAAGAATTACTCTTGAACCATGAGCACCTCCTTTATTAGTTCAGGGACACAAGAGCTTCTCTTCCCCAGCTGATTGTGTCCCTTGTTGGTGCAGTTCATCAGTGGGCAGACAGTGATCAGCCCTAAATAAAGACAAAAGGTTTTGGGGTTAGTCGTTGCTTTGAGTCAGCTTTGTTCATTTGTTTGTATGCAGTATGACCTGTCTTATTGTGTCAGGTTCCATAGGGTTGTATATGTTTTTCTTTAAATACTGAAGTCAGTGTAGGTGATGTTGAGTTTGGTATTGGATGTGTAATTTGTTTGGTTCCTCCAGTGGGATGTTTGGGAAGTTTGTTCCAGTGCACGTTGGTCAGGTCTTTAGAGGTTCTCTGATCTTGTGAGTCTGGTTACCGGCCTCCAGTTCTGCAGCTGTGACTTTCCAACAGCACATGGAGGGAAAAGCATCTGTCATCTGGAGACCTCCGTGTTCTCAAAGCGTGTGAGGAACACTGAACCACTACAAAAGCCTGTGAAGTTCCGTGTCACTCCGTTTTTAATCGCTTTGCTGCCGTCCCTCTGCAGGAACCGGAGCCAGACGGTCAGCTCGGAGACCAGCGTGGATGAAGGAGGGGTGTTTGAGAGCCTCAAGGCCGAGGCCTCCTCCCCGCAGCAGCTGTTCTCGGGGCTGGCCGGCATCCCCTCGGGCACGCTCACGGCCGCGCCGTTCCAGTCGGGATTGGTGCTGGGCTCCTCGGCGGGAGGCGGGGAGGTGTTCATCCAGATGCCGGCCCCGCGGGAGGAGGGGGCCGGCCGTGCCGAGGGAGCCCCGTTCCACCACCGCCAGCCCTCCCACCACTTCCACCACGGCCACCACCGCGGCTCGTCCCTGCTGCACATGGCCGGGGGCGACCGGCACGGCCACAGCGAGGAGGGCACGGAGGAGCAGGGCGGGACCCCGGCCCCGGCCCTCTCGGAGCTAAAGGCTGTCATTGGGTGGCTGCAGAAGGGCCTTCCCTTCATCTTGATCCTCCTGGCTAAAGTTTGTTTCCAGCACAAGCTTGGTAAGCACCCATCCTTTTAGAACCCTGTTAGAGGCTTTATCAGGCTGGGGTGTCCCATATATTTATCCGTGTGACAGTGGCCAGGTGTAGTCTGGCACAAAGGGGACATACTCAAATGCATGTGATGAATTCACCCTACTTTCAGTCCAAACCGTTCTAAAAATATTTAAACCAGCAGAAAAAATACTTGATGCCTGCCTGCAAATGGGGATATTGTACTTAATCACACTTGCCCTAAGAATTTTGATGGCACCAGTTAAATCTGAACACTGACAAGTTCAGTGAGTGTGGTGCAGAAAAGTATTGAAAGCAAACAGCAAACACTTGCAGCTTGTCACTTCTCCAGAGGCAGTCTTTGTTAACAGAGCTTGAAAGTACCTTCACCAGCTCCCTGCTCTGCAGGCCCTCAGCTGAACAGCAGTTGGTACACCCAGCAGATTATCTGCAGGTAGTTTAGTACTATGAAAATGTTTGCTGTCCTGCCCAGTTCTGTTCCTTTTCCTGATCTCCCCTTGACATTCCTGTGAGGTTGAGGATGTTACCAAGGCTTCTCCCTCTGAGAGAGGTGGGCAGAGCTTACAATGCTGACTAGCAAAGGTTTGTGTGGAGCACAGAAGGGTTCTGAGGGATGAGACACTTGTCTAGCTGGTAGGGTGGTAGCTGTGAAATTAAGTCAAACAGCATCAGCAGTTACATCTTGCAGTTGAGATCTTCAGAGTTCCCTGAAGAATATGTCTGTCCAGGTTTTGTGTTTAATGGTGCCTGAGTATTTTAGCACTATAACATTGTATGTGTGTGTGGCATGTCTGAGGAGCTGACTCATTCTGAGATTATCAGCACTGGGAAACCAGTAATGCTTCAGTTTAGTCCACTTACAGCTCTGACAGGGATTTGGTTAATTCATGTCTGCAACATCTTGGCCTTTGGACCTGCTACCCTGTAGGTTTTTGATAGTGTGCCCTGTCCTCCATGAGCTGCTGTTGTAACACTGTCAGCTGGCACAATGCAGCCAGGAGCACTTGTGTTCTCCTCCAGGACCTTAGGACAGAGTGTGTGCTGGGCTGGGTGCTCACTGCAGTGCTTCATCTTCATTCACATTCATGTGAAATACAGAGCCCGGACTGCCCTGGTTTAGTCACCTGTACATTGAAATTCCCAGTGCACCCAGAGTAGCACCCAGTAATGTTCTTCCTGAGCTTGAGATGCTGCTGCCCCTGGCTCAGGGCTGAGCCCTGACAGTGCCTCTCCTGCAGGGATTGCTGTGTGCATCGGCATGGCCAGCACCTTCGCCTACGCCAACTCCACTCTCCGAGAGCAGGTCGCTCTGAAGGTGAGTCCAGCGTTTCACCTCCTTGTATCCCCGGGACACATCACCCTCTGTGCACAAAACAGCACCTGTGTTAAACCTTCTTCTGCACTGTAGGTGTTTATATGGGCACAGGTCTGTCAGAACAAGAGTACTGTGCCCTAATCCTGCCTTCCCCTTCCTACTTCTCCACACTGATGCTCTCCTGCTGTTTCTACCCTATTTTTTGGTGAATGTGAACACAGTAAACAAAGAGAGGACAGGTCAGGGGTGTTGTAATCTGCATCTCCCCGTGCCACTGACTGCCAGTGCATCTTCCAGCACTTCTCTGCACCTTGGCTTCCCCATTTCAGCAGAGGTGCTGAAAGCTATTTGACTTATTAATGATGAGATTTAACTCATTAGCATTTAAAACATGTTTTGGGATGTTTAGCTGAAACATTTTGTAGATGTGTTGCTTGTTTGCATCTTTATAATGCTCTGTTGGGAACGTACAGAAACCAGCAGACCTTTCCAGGCCTCGTGATCTTCAGTATCAGGAGAACAGTTCAGCAGCACTAAAAGCACAAGACTGGAATTCCTTTTTTATTAAAATTACATGGGTGGCACAAGTGTGCACTTGTATCTACCAGCAGCAGTGGAGTAAATGTGCTGCAGAGCTGAATGAAGAGATGAATTGCACAGTCATGTAATAGATGGCTGTTGCCTTGCACTTTGCACCTCTCTCCTTCCAGCAGTGTGCCCCTTCATCCCCCTGCTTTAAATCTCAGCCTAACATCCCTGCAGAGATCTATTTCCTTAATAAATCAGCTCACAAGAAAAATGGTGGGTGTTTTCCTCCCAGGAGTAAAATTTACTCTTCAAAATTACCCCTGGGCCAAGACCCAGGACAGGATCTTCTGCCATCCAGCTTCTGTCTGTAATGTTCCAGCTATTTTGAAATGCAACATTTGCACTTCTTTTTGGCCTTCAGTTATTTCCTCAATGAAAGAATGCCTGTTCTAGAACCTCCATGACACTCAGATGTGCTGCAGGTCGTGATGGGTTGTATTTGGTTTAGCTGAGCCTTCCTCTGAGTGACTTTGGATCTATTTATAAACCCCCCTTTGCTGAAGTGTCACTCCAAGCAGGTGACAGCTCAGAGTTTAGGACAATATATGGAACTGACTTTTTTTTGTTTTGTTTTCAGTCTGCTTGTCACACTGAGTTTTAAATACCGGGAGAGTTTAGATGTCCCAGGAAAGATCCCAACTTTGCAGATTGCATTCTGCAAGGAAGGCTATCACCTTCCCCAGCATATTTCAGTTCATTTCAGAAAGGTTTGCTGTGTGAGAGCCATTTCTGCCTGTGTTTATGTATGTCCTTACCTGGCAGCCTGCTTCTGGTCCTTAGCCCTGTGTAAATAAACTAATTACTGAACACTTGGATACATATTCCTGTCCCCTGGGATGGGCCTTGAGTATTTCAGCAGCTGAAGCCTCAGCACAACCCCTGAGACTTCCAATTTATCTTCTCTGCTTCTTTCTCTTGCCCAGGAGAAGAGATCAGTGCTGGTTGTGTTCTGGATCCTGGCCTTTCTCACTGGGAACACCTTGTACTTGCTTTACACCTTCAGCTCCCAGCAGCTCTACAACAGGTGGGCAGCATTCCCGTGGTCCGTGCTGGAAGCAGGTGATAATTGCTCAGGGAGGAGAAGAGGGAGGCCCACTGTTCCCCCCACTGGTGTTCATGCCCAAAGCACCTGCTGTCTTGGCTCCATCTTTGTGATACCTCTCAGTGCAGGAGAAGGATGTGTGTCATTTCTGCGATAAATGGCATAGCCAGGGTGTAAATGGGGTGTGATGACACACCACGTGTTTCAGAGCAGGGTGGATCCTTTCTAAGAGGCACCTCTGAATTTCCACACAGAGCAGGTGTCAGAGGCAGATAGAACACAGACCCACTGATTTTCCTCTTCCTACAATGTTTTCTCTTCAGTCTGTCAAGGAGATAAAACAGCAGTGTTTTACTTCAGTGTCCTCAGGGCTTGGAGGCACTGGGATCTGAGATAATCTGAGGTAATTAAGATATCCTTGCCTTTCAGATTCTCACTAAAGCAGTTCTCAAGTACAGAAAAGTTTGTATCAATGGATTTGGTTCAGCACTACCCCTGCTAATCATAAAGTATGTAGGAATTATGACAGCCAGGAAGCAAAGATGCACAGCTTAAGCAAGGAGATGTTAGTAGAATAAATAGGAAGAAATGGAACAACATAATAGTTTGAGAGTAATTCAGATATTAGTAGTTAGAAAGTAGTTTTGATATTAGTAGCTAAAACCATATGAATTATCTCCCTAATCAGAATTTTCTTCGTCCCACTGAAGGGGACTTAGGACTTGAGGCTGAAAATAAAATACAACGTGCATCAGTTGGGTTGTGGCTATACTGCCAGTTATTTCATTGCTTCCCTGCTTCTTCCCAACAATACTGTCCGTGGGAAGAGCCAAGGCCTGCCCATAACCCTGGTATCCTTTGGAATTACCCCTAATGGGTTTGGATTTGGTCCCTGGAAAACCCTGTATGTAAATGCTTCTAGAAAGGGGGAGAGATGAGGAGGCTCAAATGTGTGGGTCCAAGTGGGAGATGTTAAGCCATGGAATTCCCTGGATATGGCCTGTGGGAGGGAAGAGAGGCAGGAGTGGCAGAAAGGTGTGGAAGCACTGAGAAGGAATTGGCATCACAGGGAAGCTGTGTCTGGAAGAAGGTGGCCAGGGTTAAAACCACGGATGGGGCTCGTTTAAAATAGAGGCTGGATCACCTAAAATAAAGGACTTTCAGCAAATTGGGGCCACCCTACACACAGTTTAGGGCATGGCTTATTACCAGTGGACAGGCTGGGCCACATTTCCATGGAAAAGCCCTGTTTCTGTGGGTGCTGCTGTGGCATCTTGGGCTGGTGCATCTGTTGCCTGCTGTGTGGGGACCTGGGACTATTCACAGGGCAGGCTTGTCAAATTAGAAATAGCTGCTTCGTGTTTGTTTCTTTCTGGCTTGTTTTCCGTTTCCTGATTTATTTTTATTTCTGGTGTTTTTATTTATTTACTGTTTCTAGTGCACGAATAGTAGTAAAGCCTCTGATTCTGTTTCTGTTTTTAGGGTGTAATTTTACCTGTTGTGCTGTGCCAGTGTTGTGAGTATTTTAAATTCATGTTCAGGCCTTTCATTTTGGGTTGGTTATTTTATTTATTTATATTTTTTTTTCGTTAAGTGTTTGCTTTCTACCACGAGGCTTTATTAGCTGAACACCCTGCAGATGAATCCTGGTCCTTCAGCCTGAGTAGGGTCCAGTCCTCATTGCTGCTCAGGTCAGTGGCTGCTGCCCACTGCTGTGTGGGATTCTGCTGCCCCAGACTGCACTTTTTTCAAAGAGCAGATGTTGAGCAGGACTGCACAGGGTGAGGTTTTGCATTCAGGTCACAGAATCAGGTGGAGCTCAGGGCACTCCCTGCACACCAAAGGCTCTGTTGCAGCGTGGAGTGCAGGTTGTGGAGACTGCAGCCTCCCAGACCAGGTTTGGGTCCTGTTTGGTGACAGTGGGCAAACCTGCTGACCTCAGCAGAAATGGGCAAGAGCAAAGCCAAGAGGCCCAGAGGAACCAGGGCACTGATTTGCATGTCTGGCTCCTCCTGCCCTCGGGAACTCCCCTGGAGCTCAGGGCACTTTGGAGGCTCTCTCTGGCCACCAGTGGACACCAGAAGCCTGAGTGAGGTTCTCCCTGGAGTTTGAGCTTTGGTGTCTTGTGCCTTTCAGCCTGATATTTCTGAAGCCCAACCTGGAGAGGCTGGACTTCTTCGACCTGATGTGGATCGTGGGCATCGCCGACTTTGTGCTCAAGTACCTCACCATCGCCCTGAAATGCCTCGTGGTGGCCCTGCCCAAGATCATCCTGGCTGTCAAGTCCAAGGTAGGAGACCCCTCTTGATGTACAAATACTTATCTTTGATAATCTGATACCTTTACAACACGTTTGCAGCGTGAAGTCCCAGAATCCCAGAATGGGTTGGCTTGGAAGGACCTTAAAGCCCATCCAGTGCCACCCCCTGCCATGGGCAGGGACACCTCCCACTAGCCCAGGGTGCTCCAAGTTTATCCAGCCTGGCCTTGGACACTTCCAGGGATCCAGGGTCAGCCACAGCTTTTGAAACTTCCTCACTACATTCTCTCCCTTAAAATATCTTTTCATAATTGTTTACTTGTACAGATCTGTCGTGCTGCCTCTTTATCCACTTGGTACCCTCTCCGTGTCAGTGGCAAACACAGCAATTTGTATTATTTGCATTCAGTAAAGGAACTTTCTGGCAGCTGTTGGGATGAAAGGCACTATATAGATTAATCCCTGGAAAAGTCTCAGGCAGGGCACTTAGGGGGATATCTAAACTGGGAATAGTTTTGCTCAGAAATGACAGGGGTGGCAGGGGAGTTGAGCAGTTTGTTCCTGCACAGCAGGGCTATTTGAGATGGTTATTAATTTATTTCTGGCAATTGTCCAACTTTTTTTTTTTTTCCCTTCTTCTATTATTATTATTATATTTTGGGAGATTAATGTGGTGGGTCAGAGCATAATCCAGCCTGGGGGGGGAGGGAAAACTGATGTGAATAGTCTCCCCAAGATAAATTGCAGTGTTGGAAAAGGTTCACAGCCTTTGCTTGCCTGTCTGAGAGCTCTCCCAAGTACTCATTAATCCTTGTCTGGAGAGAAGAAAGGGAAGGGCTCTTTATTTTCAGCTACAGGGGGAGGCTGGTAAGATCACATCTGTCAGGGGCCTGTAATGACTCAGAGCACAGATGCTTCGTTTTTAATACCTTTCTCTGGATAGCAACATTCCCCACTTTCTCCAAGCCCCTTTTTTGTCCCAGGATGTTGCTGACGGGCCCGGTGTACCCTGACATCCCAAACTGCTGCTCCCTCCCACCACAAATCTGCATTTTCCCCCCTCCACTCTGCACTGCACCCTTAAGCCCACCAGGGGTGAGATCTGGTGTAACCAAACTGAGCAAGACCGAGGTGGGGTGGGGGAGGTCCAGCAGAGCCCCAGGACACCCCAGCAGCTGGGACTGGTACCCCCAAAACACCTAAACACTCGCCAGATACAAAGTTCTTCTTGGCCTCCCCATGTGCTCCTGGGAGAGCTGCTGCTTTAATTCCAGCTTGGAGCTGATGAACTTGGGGGTGGCTGTCACTCAGTGCTATCATGGAGAAATAGAAATTAGACTAGAGCAAAGGGAGATTTTGTTCCAGATATACAAATACAGAGTGAGAATTTCTGTGCCAGTGTAACCAGTCAGAACAGCCCCCCTAGTGCAGGGCCTGCAGTGGAAGCTGAGGCACTGTCAGGGGTGCAGTTCAGCCCAGCTGTGAGTGGGACACAGGGATTTCATTCCTTGCAGGCCTGGCAGTCAGCAGCAATCACAAAGCTTGTCCAGGGATGGGATGTGAGGAACTTCGATCATTGTGCTCTCAACCTCTGAGCAGGCTCTTCGGATTTTTCCTCGTTTTGGGAGTTCAAAGGCACCTCCAAAGCCAGTCTGGCTTTTCATGCTGCTCCTTGAGGTTCTGGTCTTCTCTGAAGGCTCTTCACTGGTGCAAGGCATTCCCTCTGAATATTCTTCTTTTAAGACTCTCACCTCTGCATATCCACTGGGATTGGAGCAAGATCAGATTCTGTTCTCTTGCAGTCTTCCTTTCTCCCCTCAGTCTTCTCTGGAGACTGAACACCATCACTTTTTTGAGTCTTTTGTCAGAGATTTTTAATTCCAGATCTCATTGTTCTCTTCTGGACTGTCTTCATCCCTCCCTGTTCTCCAGAGCATTTCTCCAGCATATCAGGATGAGTTTGGATTATAATCCTTCCTCTTGTTGCATTTACAGCCTTTCCCAGTTGAGTGTCAGCTGTAGATTTGATAAACCCACTCTGTCCCATCAAGGTCATTGATGAAAACAGCGAATAGCACTAAACTCTGCTTACCTCAGATGCATTCTGACAGTGAACACATACAAAATTTGGGCTGGAGCTCTCAGTTCTGCCCCCCTGAAGTACCTGGCTCATGTATTCCTAGCATGGCCCATCCCAGGAAGGGCAACTTTTGGTGTAGGATAACATTTGGATTTACAGCATCAGTTTATGCTTTGACTGAGAGAAAGCAAACTAAAACTGAAAGGCAGAAAAATAAGGTTGTCTTTGCCTTCAGAACACAGAGGGCAATAAACATGACCAGGAGTGCTTGGAGTGTGAGGCATGAGAACTGATATATTATATATTATATATTATATATAGGGTACAACTAGCCAGAGTTCTCCAGGCTTGAATAACTCAAAAGTGGAATATCTCTGCAACAAACTCCCCCAGAGAACGAGGGAAGACTGAAAACTTGACAAAATAATCCCAGACCTTCCCAGGCTCCAAAGCAGCCTGGAAAACAGAGGTGCCAAGGGGAGCTGTGAGGCTGCAATCAGGCTGGAAAGCAGGGAAGAAAATGCTGGGGAATGGGAGAGAAAATCAGGAAAATGACTGATCTCACCCCTCTGGGGTCTGTGGAGTTGGCAGGAGAAGGATCAAACCTGTGGCTAAAGGTGTCCCTTCCCTTCCCCCTGAGCTGATGGGCACATTAAGCCAAGTTCAAGTTTTAATTTCAGCTGGGCTCATCATTTCTTTGGAAGGGGGGCTTGGCTCCCAACCCTGCTCTCCATTAAAAAAAAAAAAACAAACAGGCAAATAAGATCATTTGGTTCAATATAAAATGAATTAAAGTAAATTAAACTGCAGGAGCCATGTGGCCTGCAGAGGCTTCCATTGTTGCACACCCATGGATGGCAGCTTTTCATTTGCACTGCTAAGGAATGACAGCTTGAGGGGGGTGGGATTAGAAATAAGGAAATAAATAATAAAAAGGCACACTTGCCAAAGATTTCACTTAGGAAATCCCAGGTGCCTGCAAGTCTCCCATCCCCTCCTCATGCTGCTGTCAGCAATCTGAGCTGGTTATCCTGGAGGATGGAGTGAGATGTGGGGGAGGGGGCACAGAAAGAAAACAAACCCAAAAGAACTGTGAAAAATTGGTATCCCAGGTTTTTAAAGTACCATCTCACGGTACCTGGTCAGAGGAAACCTGGCCTGTGTGTCCCAGCAGTTCTTCACCCAATTCTGCAGTCGGATTTTAGAGCAGGTACCTCCTTCAGGTGCGTTCCATGTTTCCTAACATTTCCTGGCACAGCTGGTTACAGCCCTGCCCTGTACACTGGCACATTAGGATTCCCATATTCCTTCTGAAGCTGCACCTTTCTGTTGTTCCTGAGGAAATAAAGGTCTCTTGGAGCATTTGAGTCCTCTGGATGCTGATCAAAACATACAGAGGTGTTAAAAAAGCACTGGGAGCTGGCACATGGATGAGGTTCAGGAAAAACAGCCAGGTGAAGATGTTCCTTACCTGTGCTCTCTTCCACAGTGTGACATGCAGGCTAATCCTGGCCTTCCCCAACACTGTGGTTTAAGTGGTGTTTCCAGACAGGATAGCCCATCCTCTCATTCCCTGCTGACCTTGGATGCTCTCTGGAGGAACTCTGGAACAGATTCACCAGGCTTGGACAACAATCTGAGCTTTGATCCTCTGGGGCCACAGAACCATATGATGCTGTGCAAAGACTCTTCTCTGCTCCAGATGGACAGATGAGGTGTCCCAGCATCACAGGCATGGGGTTTGTTATTTACACAAGACAAAAGGTAACTGAAGCACCAGAGCCAGGTCCTGAGGAGTGGGGCTCTCACGTCCCCCTCCCTAACACGCTCTGCTGAACTCTAAAATTTAGAGTCATAACTCCCAGGTGCTCTCCCACTTGAACCTTCCAGTTTAAGCTGTCCAGGATGAGACTTTCACAAGTGTTGTGCACTAACTGAAATTCCCATTTCCCCCTCGAATCCCACCTGGAAATTACTCCTCAGCAGTCCTGCCTGGCTTTTCATCAGCATCCTGTGTGCCACAATCCCGTTTGCTGCTCTGGCTCCCTTACCCTGGCAGCCTGACCTGCAGCCTCAGCAGACGTGCTCTCCTCGGATCCAAATTGCCAGCAGGTCCCCGAAGTTTCTCCCCAGCATCTTCCTGTGTCAGAATACGTCCTAATGCTGCTGGCAGCAGAACAAGTGAGACTTGGAGCTTCCCTTGAGTGCTAATCACGACTTACAGTTGCCTCACTGCAACTTCTCTCACTTCTCTTGCATCCCATTTCAATTCCACTGTGTCAGACCTTACCCTGCCTCTCTTGTTTCCTCCTGGGGGGGCACAGGCACTTATGCAAAGCCTTATGTCAAAAGAAACCAGGGAATGGAGGCTCAGCTGGGCTCTGGGGGAATTAGCATTGCCTCTGCAGCTGCAGCTTGCCCCCTTTGCTCTGTATATGTTGGGATTCGATTTTTAATTACACTGTTCCGTGTTGTTTCACTGCAAGACTCCTTCCCCCCATCACCAGTGCCCCGAGGATGAAGGTGAGGGATTGAAAGGAGCTGTTGTAGCAACTGGAGGGTTCACAGAAAACAAAGACCACTGGAAGAGGAACATCCCACAAGTCCAAGTCTCTGCGCCACGGAATTAAATTCCGTCCTTTGCTTCGCCAAATAATCCCTGTGTGGTTCTAGAAGAGTCATGTACAGCTGCAAACTGGAGTCAGGACTGCAGCTTTTAATGGTAATGTGATCTGTGAAATGAAGTGCTTTATAAAAAGTGTAATCCCAGACAGCTCAGCTTGGACACCAAAACGGCCTTACCTTGACCTTTATCCTCCTGTGCCTCGAGTTTTCATTTAGGAAGTGCAGAGCACAGCTGTCCCTTAGGCCAGCACTGAAAATAAGGGGGTTTTAAGGGTGTTTTTGTAGTGGTGATGTCATAAAGGGACTGAAGACATTTTAGAAGTGTGCTCTTCCGAGCAGGGTGGAGGGCTCAGATGCAGATCTGCCATCAGGTGATGAGGGTTTAACGAAATACTGAGAAGCTGCATGCTTAATGTGCAAAAAGGGTTTCCACCTTACAGACTGAAACACTGCATGTAGAGAGGGAAAAGTGCAGCTGTGTGAAACTCCTGAACTCTCCTCTTCCCAAAGAAGTGCTTGATTTGAGGTGTGAAAGTTGTCTCTCTGTGGTGAAGGAGGCACAAAAAATGGAGGGATATACACAAGCCATGGACTCGATTTTCAACAAAGCACTGGAGAAAGGAATCAGAATTTCCCAGGGTGGGATCTCAGAGCTGCTAAACTGGGATGCCCAGCAAAGCCCTTCCCACAGGTGCTAAGGAGCTGTTTGCTGGTGCAGCAGGGTCAGCAGTGTCCTTCTCACTTCTGCTCAGGCTGAGCAGCCTCTTCATGGGTTTGGGGGGAGCAGAGCCCTTTGCTGGCCCTTGTAGGGGACATCATTTCAGGTAATGTCCTATTTAATGTCTGCAGTGCAGCTTGGCTCCTGCACAGTCCAGTCAAGCATTGGGACTGACTCACAGGCTCACCAAAAATAGATTTTGCTGCTCTTGGAGAGCTGTTTCGCTCCATACAGTAGTGCATTCAAGAGAAGATTCCCAGATTTACACTGATCTTTATGAAGTATGAACTCACCTAACAGAGACAGGTCTTGCCTTATTTCAAGCTGTTTCAAATAGTTGTATTTGTGCTTAATATAATCTTGCTGGAAAAAAAAAAAAAGAAATCTGAAATACTTGAGCTGAGTTTTTCAGGCAAAATGCAGCTGGAGACAAAGGTTTGTCTGTGAAAACTGTCCCCTAGATATCCAAATGTAACAAGGCTGAGGAGTGGCAGAGCAGGTGTGCTGGGTGTCCTTCCCAGGGATGGGTGCTGTCTGCAGGAAGTTGCTGCCATCACAACTCCACCTTTTGCTGCTAAAACTGCAGGGAACAACCCTTGTTTTCCAAGCTTCTGGCTCAGAAGGAAGACCCCCACTTGTGCTGCAGCCCTTTGCAAAGTTACTTTTGATTTTCTGGCACTTTTCCTGGTTTAAAAAAAAAGGGCTGGTGTGGTGAACAGAGAGGCCTGACAAGACTCAAAGTTCTGTAAGCACTTTCTAGTTCTCTTGTAAGCATTGCTTCCTTCCTTCCTCCTGGAATCACTCTAAACTTGCCAGCCTTTAGGGTCAGGGGGGTGGTGTTCATGGGCTGCACGGAGGGAGGCATCCTTCAAACCTGCACTTCACCTCTGGGGGGCAGTGAACGAGTTTTTAGCTGCTAAGAAGTGCTGGTGCCCTGCAGTCACCACTGAAAACCGAGGATGTGCTTTAGATAAAGGAGTTCTGGGAGCTTTGGGAAGGGTGGAGATGTTGTGGTCGGACGATTGGAGTTTGTCACCTGCTGCAGGTTCATTTTGGAGCCACACTGTGCCCCTTCCAACCCCCCAGCCTGTCTGTGCTCTGGGGCTATCCCTGAGCCGCCTTTCCTCACATCTTGCTGAGGGCTCTGGTGCTCCAGCGCCTCAAAACCCGTGTTGTCAGCAGAGCTGCGGCTCTGGCACCCCAAATGCTGGTGCAGCAGCTCCAGCTGATGCAATGGCAAAGCAAGCAGTGACCTGTCCCATCCCAGCTCCTGGGGAGGCGAGGATCCAGCAGAGATGAGGGGTGGGAGCCGGGGGGAGGGACGAGTCAGGGAAAACAAACAGTTTGCTGCCTTCCTCTTGCTGGGGGCTTTCATCAGAGGGAAGGCAGTGACAGCACAGTGACCCTCTGCCACGGCAGCTCCCAAAATAAACGATGATTGCATTGAAACACGAGGCTGGAGAGAGAGACCTCGGTGCTAATTTAATAAATTGCTTGCATTTAGGATTGTTGCCGGTGGGTTTTGTGCTCTGCGGTGCCACCTGGGATTCAGGGGGAGGAGGGGAGAGGCAGAAAGGCGGAAAGCTGCCCAGGCCCGTTAGCAACCGCTGGTGTGACCTCACTCCGGGTCCCGGGGGGTATGAGATCATGAGCATGCCAGAGCTCTCCGAAGGATTCGATTTGTTGGGAGCAGCAGGATGGCCTGCGAGTGATCTCATCCTCAGCCCCCGGGGAAGGGCGCTGGCTGCTGCCTCGCCGGCTGCCAGGACTTAATCCCCACTCCAAACCTCCCCAATTAGCGATTGGCCTGCGGTGACATCACTGATGACAAAGCGAGCTGGGACAACACAGCAACATTCCAGGGGAATTTCCCCTTCTCCGAGATCTTATCGAGCGAGAGGATTTTTGACGCGACGAACCCAAATCTTTCAGCCCAGATAATGTCAGTGCAGATGAAGGATCGCTCTGGGCTCGGCTCGCCCTGCCCCAGTGCCCTGCCCCCAGCGTGGGACACGACATGAACAGGTCCTCATTAGGGCCGGCCCTAAATTAGATCCCCTCGTTCAGCCACCTTCCGACTCCCGGGTAAAGAATGAAAATAGGATTATTAAAATATTAAAGTAGAAGTGATGTGGTGAGAAAAAAGGCACTTCACAGTTGCACCTCGTGGTTGCAGTGAGCCGGGAGGGAGTGTGTGTCACCTCGAGGAGGGAAAGCTTTCCATGCCAAACAAACTCCAGGGTGGCAGGGACAGCTCTGCTGAAGGTTTACATGGGATGTTGCCCATCTCTTTTGAGAGAGAAGTGTTTGAACCATCACGCTTCCCCCTCCTCCCCCCTTTCTTCCTTAAGGTCCTCAGGAAGTATTTTGAATTTCAATGCCCTGAGGGTTTGTTTCTCACCACCAGTCTTTTTATCTTTGCATTGTACAAGAGGCACCACACACCTGGGTGGGAGGGCAAGGGTAAGGATGCTGGTAAACAGATAATTGGTTTGATCTGCAAAGTTGTCAGGAAGTCTGGTGTCACCTTGCATTTAATCCCTGTACCTTCAGAAAGGTATAATATAAAAAAGACTTACATTGCTTCCCTTTTCTCCTAATTAATAGCATCCACCATTTACATCCTATTCATCTGCTGCTGGTGCCCTGCAGCATTGATGTGTGTGCCCATAACCTGTCCCTGCAAGCATTTCCCAGAGTGAGCACCAGCCCTGCTCTTCCCTTGGCCTCCTGATGATCCCATCTCCCTCGTGTGGCTTTACAGGGCAAGTTTTACCTGATCATCGAGGAGCTGAGCCAGCTGTTCCGATCCCTGGTCCCCATCCAGCTGTGGTACAAGTACATCATGGGGGATGATCCCTCCAGCAGCTACTTCCTGGGAGGAATCCTCATCATCACCTACAGCCTCTGCAAGGTCAGCACCACCTCTTCAGTCACCTCTGGCACAGCTGAAGGGAACAAAGACCCCCTGAGGCTGTTGCTGTCACTGCCCAGGAGGCACCTGCAGGGTGGGGACACCTCTGCATTTTGCATCCCCAGCCTGTGGGCACTGCTGAGCTGGGGAGGGTCTGTGGCTGCTCAGGAGTGTTGCATCAGCCTCATGAAGTCATTGCAGCTCTCTAATGCCTTCCTGCGCAGGCTGGAGGAGCAGGGGGAGCAGTGCTGGCACGGTCAGCTGTCTCCAGGCTTCCAGAGGCAGCACTGAAAGGCAGGGTGCAGTTTGGTGTTTCCCTCGGAGCTTTCCTCTGCCTCTCCGGGCAGGGTGGGTGCTCTGTCACTCACAGCAGGCAGGGAGAGGGGTATCCAAGTCCTGCCTGCAGAAAACAAGTAGCTCTGCCCTGTTCCAGGTCCTGGTCTGGCTGCTGCAGGTCCAGGATCCCAGTGATGGACAGGGGTAGTTAATGTGTCCTCAGAAATAAGGATGTGAAGAGCACAAAATCTGTCTGTACAACTGTAAGTGAGTAGGTGTAACTTTATAAGTCAGAGTCCCAAGTCTGAGGTCAAGAAATAGCTGCATTTGTAATGGTGTGTGTTGAACCCTGCCCAGGGGCAAGCAGGGGTATCCCGGTGTTATCCATCCCTCTGAGGAAGGCCAGGTGAGCCGGGCTGGCTCCATCCCTGATCCCTGCCCGTGCCCCTGGCTTTGCAGGAGCACACTGAAGCACAGGGAGGAGGGAGCATATCCCAGCTGAAAACAGCTCAGAGGGGCTGAGCAGTTCTGAATCACACTGCAGCTCCTACTGCTGCAGCTGCAGCTCCATGTTATGTAGGAACAGGGCCTGTTTGACCCCTGCTGTCAAGGAATTGTCAGTTCTTGTAGGCAGGACAGGCAGAGAAGGTCGTGGGAAGTGAAGTGATTTGGTCACAGCAGGTCTGAGATCAAGCCAAAACCAGAGCAAACGGTGCCAGAACAGGAGCACATGAGACCAGTGCAGCTCCTGCACCCCCAGCAATTCCCTCGGCTCTTTACTCTTCTGAGGGAGAGGATTGTTGCCCCTTTCAGAGATGCCACTGCCTGGATCCCCTGCAGTTCTACCTGCCATTCCTTCCAGCTGGAGAAGCCCTCCCAGCAGCAGGAAGCAGTGAGAGCCTCTGCTCCTGGGAGGAAGGGGAGCCAGGACCCAACCCCAGAGCTGGCAGGGCCAGGGCCCCAAGATAAACCCAGGGCATCATCCCTGGGTCAGGATCAGGCCTGGCAAAGGGAGACAGGCCCAGGGGGTGGTGGGCAGTCACTCGACGTGCTGGGGTTCCAGGTCAGTGGGATCTGTAGCTGGGCACGGGTGTGGCTGAACTGGAAACCAGCACTGGTGTAAGCACAGCTCTGATGTGAGCTGAGCCCTCCAGGGCTGAGCTTCAATGGAGCTGCTGGGCCCCAGGGCAGGGGCTGTGGGTGCAGAGCCCAGGGCAGGCTGTCAGGGCCAGGAAGGGCTGTTAATGCCCCCAGGGCTGGCTGGAGTGAGCACTTCTTTTGGGGTTCTGTACTGTGAAGCTTTTCCAGGTGGTGTGGGGTGACCTGGAGTGGAAAAGCCACCCCATTTTGGACAGTTCTGCTGGTCTGTTCTTTAGGAGCTCCATGAGGGCAGGACAGCTGCTTTCCAACCAGGACTGTGGGGCACACTTGGGAAGGTGCCTTGGCTGCAGCCCATTCCCATTCCCATGACAGGCACTTTCCTTCCTTGAATTCATCCAGCTCCTCGGGGGATAACAGAGGGACAGGCCAGGGGGAGGGTGGTAAATCCAGGGACATGTCCCAGGTCATTGTGTGGCAGCTCCTGAGCGTGTCCAGGTCAGGATCAGCCCCCTGCACACAGAGACTCTGCTTGGAAAGGAAGGAAAAGTGGGATCACGCTCCTGCAACCCGGAGCACGGAGTGCCAGGTGTGTGCATCCCATTTACAGCCACAGGAGCTGCAGGTCTAATCCCTTGCCTGGCACACTGAGAGCATCCCAGAGGAGCCCCCATTAGCAAAGCCACAAACCACAGCAGAAAAGCCACAGAAGCCAATTTGGCACCCAGAGCTCCTGGCGAAATTCCAGGGCTCAGCTGGGGCTGCAGCCCCTTCCCTGCACAGAGGGCAGGGGCAGGGGCACTTCCAGGGGGTTGTGTGTCCTGCAGCTCCTGGGAGCTGTCCTGGTGCCTCTCTCAGGGCTGTGTAGGCACAAACCCTCTGATTTTGGTGAAGAAATCCCAGATCTTCACCAATAGGAGCATCCAGGGGTTATTTTGTCCCTGTCCTGAACAGAAGCACTCCCTGTGACCCAGCTGTTAAAATGATGAGAGGTGGCTGATGCAACACCCTTCAGTGCATGGGTGAGAAAGGGGTGTTGGACCACTGCAACAGCAGCTTTTGGGGTACAGGGGGGGAAAAATGAAGGGGGAAGGTGGACTGGGAGAAGAGGAGAGACATCAGAGCTGGAGCAAAGGCATCAGAAGCCACACTGTAAGCAAAGCAGCCAGAAAGAGCTGCGAGTTGGACTGTGGGAAAGAGCTGATCCTCGTTAGGAGGTGAAGAGTCTGCAGCAGTGGCAGCTCCAGTGGTAGTTGCTGACTGGAAGCATTACTGGAAGGACCCTGGGAGCCTTTTACATGCTGACTGGAAGCATTATTGGTGCCATCATTTGATTCCACAGCTATTGCAGGATGATCTCACTGGCATTCCCTGCAGTGAGCCCACTTAGTCCTGCTAACCAAGGAAGAACAGCAGGGAGCCAACTCCAGGCACTGTGGTGCCTCTGCAGTGCCCTGGCCCTGCAGCATCACCCCTGCCCTGCCCTCCAGGGAGTCCAGGCAAGCCATCAGCCTTTAGTTCAGTGGGTAGCAGATCCCTTCCCTTCCCTTCCCCTTCCCTTCCCCTTCCTCTTCCCTTCCTTTTGGCACCATTGTGACTTCCCCCCCCCTCCGTTTCCTGAGTTTCTGGGCTGTAAACACACACACACACAGAGTTTCTGAAAATTATCTGAAATGGGATGTTTTTATTGCAGTCTTTTGACATCTGTGGCCGTGTGGGAAGTGTCAGGAAGGCACTGAAGGTCCTCTGCACCCCCCAGGTAAGGAACTGCACATAAAAAGCAACTTCAGAGGTGAAATCGTTACTGTTGGAGGATGGAGCTGAGAATTGCTCAGTGTATCCTACATGGAATACAGTCACGTGCTGTGCCATGGCTGGACAAGCTGTTCCCCCTGTCAGGGATGTTGGGAACCTTTCCTGACACCTGCCCTGTCCCAGCTGTGCTGAGAGGCTGTTCCTTTGTCTGACTGGAGTTCTGTGTGATGTGGATTAATCCCCTGAGGCCAAACCTGCAAGGATCTGACGGGACCTTGCAGTACAGAGTGTGAGAAGGGCTTTAACCAGAACCCTGCTGTGCCTGATGTGCAGTGCCATTCCAAGAGATCAGGAGTTATCCCAGGCACTGCTGTTTGGATGTGCTGCAGTGACATGCTGGGACTTGTCCTTTCAAAAGGGACACACCCACTGAAGTTTTTGGAGCTCGCCCTGCCTGTTCTGTGGGCCTGGGCTGGTCCTTTTCCCTCAGCAAGTTTCTGTCTCCCCCCAGTCCTGTTAAACTGGGGGAAACATTTACCCTCCACATATCTGAAAGGAAAAGTGGGTGGTCCTGCTGTTACTCCTTCTCCTGTTGTCTAACTGATGATGATGATAATGATAATAATAATAATAATAATAATAATAATAATAGCTCCCCTGTCTGAACACCTCTGCCAGTGATGCTGAGTTCATCCCTCCAGCTCCCCGTTGAGCTCACTGAGTGTCGTCATCGTTGCTGCACAAGTGGAGGCACCAAAGGGTGGAATCAGCTGCTGCCAGACCTCCCTTCCCACACAGGGACACGACACCAGTGTCCCTCCCAGGCCTGTTTTTACACTCACTGAGCCTCCAAACCCTTGGTCACTGGGATTTTCCCCCCCTGTCCCCGCAGACCTACGGGGTGCGTGCCACCAGCCAGCAGTGCAGCGAGGCAGGAGACATCTGTGCCATCTGCCAGGCAGAGTTCAGGGAGCCCCTGATCCTCATGTGCCAGGTAAGAGCCCAGCCTCTCCTGCTGGCATTCCTTTGGTTCCTCTGCAGCTGGAGAGGCACGGCCAGCCCGGGCACCTCGGAAAACATTGGCTGGGTCTTGGTCTGGGTCCTGCTGGGGGCTGGTAATGGACCAGAGGAGCTCATGGCAAGGCTGCAGATGCTGCCCCAGCAGTTTTCCCTTCAGGCTTTGTCTGCTGGGGCTGGGATCTTGCTTCCTGGAGGGGCAGGAAAACCCCAGGCACAGGGAAGGGAGGTGGTGGGATAGGAGCTCTCTGGCATTTATGGGAAGGGCACACTGGGCACTGGGAGCAGAATAAAGACAATGCAAGGGGCAGGGTGGGGAAAAAGGGGCAAAAATAAAGATGGAAACATGGCAGAGAAAACCTCTCCCTATGCTGTTGGCCTTTCTAATGTTCCTCTCTAGTGCCATAGTAAGAAATAATAAATCATTGGCTTTGGCAAACAAACTGATGTGCTGGTAATGCTGGGATTTATTTTCCATGTTGGCATCGCTGTCATGGATCCCTCCCTGCTCCCGTGAGGACAGGGGGGGCCCTGCTGCCTGGTGACACTGCCCCTTGTCCCCACAGCACGTGTTCTGCGAGGAGTGCCTGTGCCTGTGGTTCGACAGGGAGAGGACGTGTCCCCTGTGCCGCTCGGTCACCGTGGACACCCTGCGCTGCTGGAAGGATGGCACCACCTCTGCCCACTTCCAGGTCTACTGACACGGGGCAGGGGAGAGGAGAACCCGGACAGTCACCCCGTTTTCCCCTTTAGCTGCCCCCAGTGTTTGTTGTCAGCCCCTCCCAGCTCCCTCCAGGAGCACCAGAGCAGTCGTCACGGGCCAGGAACTGCGGCCTCCAAGGCAAGGAGAAGTGGTTTGTGTGGCCCAGCCAAGGGTTTTCCCTGAGCTGGCTGAGTGGTTATGAACTGCCTGGGATGTTCCCTGCTTCCCTGTCCTTTCAGCGTGGACAAATCCCACGTGGACAAAGCACAGGAACTGTGGATTTCGTGGGTACGACCCGATGTGCTGGAGCAAAGCTGTGCCTGGCTCTGGGCTCTGCCGAGGGCTCTCCCATTCTGTGGCCCCACATTCCCTGGATCCAGAGCTTTACAGGGTGGCACGGTGGCTGTTACAGAACCTCTGGAACTCCTCCCAAGCAGGGCTTCCTTCAGTGTCCAAAGGCCCCCTGGGGCTGGAGGAACGTCCTCTCCAGCAGCCCCCTTTGTGCAGTTGGTTCCAGCGATGGCACGTGCTGCAAGCGTAATAAAATCATTTACAAGCTGGGAAAGACCAGGCAGGAGGTGGAAATTAGACTTAACTTTTCTTAGGAATGTTTTCCCTTTTTGTTTTTCATGGTGAGACTTTGTGATTTCCCAGTACATGAGAACAGTGGGAGACAGAGGGAGATTGAAGTGAGAGACTCACGGGAGTCGAGTTGGATTTGTCTGGGTGAAAAATCCAGCTCCAAACCAGGAGCATCCCACAAACTGAGGGGTCTCTGCACCTGCTCCAGGCCAGCCCCACTCACATCCAGGACCTGCCTGGGTCCCAAACCAGGAAAACAACGGGATTAAAGCTCCACATTTCCTAGGAATGTGGCTGGAGGAGGGATGGTGGTGGGAAGCAGGGAAGAGTCCAAACGTGGCTTGAGAGATGCAGGGAAGCAGAGGAGGAAAAGCTTTGCTTTCCAGGACAAAGTGATTTGATTCCCGTTGAAGGATCCTGGGAAAGCAGGGAATTAGCCCAAGGAATCTGGTTGCTGCCTGCAGTGGGAATGGCCCCTCTGGGATGGGGGAGGCAGGAAGCAGGGCTGGCAGTGGGCACAGGAATGTGGTTGTGTGTTAGCCTGGTGTATCCATTGGGAAGAGGGAAAGGGAGGGATTCCATGGGCAGGCAGTTCCTGAAAGGCCCCAGTGCCAGTTTTCAGGGAACCAAGGGGTTGGTGCTTCTGCTTTCCAAGTGTTTGAAAAGCCACTTCTGGTTTGTTTTTTTTTCCCAAATGCTCCTGGAAAATGTGTGTGGGCAAGTCTGGGAGAAGGTCAGAGGGGGCCCAGCACTGCAGAAAGGGTGGGATGAGCTGCTCCAGAATCAGGCAGTGACTGATTGGGCAGGAAACCAAAGGGAAAGTTTGGGAATATTTTTTGAATTCTTACAGTCTCTTTGAGGGGGGAGGACAATTCTACCATCCAGGGGAAACTTCAGCTCCAGTGATGGGAATCTGCTGATTTCTGTGGGAAAACAGGGAGGGCTGTGGGAGGAAATCACCCTGAGAGAGGAAATAAAAACCCAGAGCCTTTTTTTTTTGCCATTGAACAGTTATTTTTCTCTCTTTTTTTTTTTTTTAATAAAGTCCTTATAAATATGTACAAAGAGTCTCAGCATACGAAATTCCTTTTACAAAAGACAGAAGCCCCTTCCAAGCAGGACCAGGAGCCTCCGTGGGCTCTGCTCCTGCCTCGGGGAGCTGGAAACCTGCACAGTGACTCTGTTGGAGTTACATCCGTGGCATTCCCTTAGCAATGCACCTGGGGGAGACTGGGAAGTGTCCTAAGGATTGGTGATGGGAAGGGTTTTGTGGTGAACTGGTGTTTGAATTGACTGGAAAGGGGATGCTTGAAATACCCATGGAATTAAACCCCCCTGAGCTGGGTTTGCTCTGCTGAGGAGCCACCTGGAAGTGATGGTGTGAGTAATCAAGGGGGTAACTAACCAAGGGGGTAACTAATTAAGGGGGTAACTAATCAAGGGGGTAACCATAATGGGTGTAATTAATAAAGGCCGTTTAACGCCCGGAAGCTTCCAGTGAATATTTATCAAGCTCCAAAGTCACTTTCTGTAAATATTAAGCCCCTCAGGGAACTCGAGCCCTCGGGTTTTCCTGCCCAGTGAGGTTGGATCAGTCACATCAGAATTCCCTCCTGTGTTCAAATAAATATTGTTGGGAAAAAAAGATCCACTTGTTCTTGTGTTTTGTAGTTTAATTTTCTTTCCCAGATGTGGGCATTGGACATCCTGGAACAGCAGCTCCTCCCGCTCCTGTGGAAGGCAGAGCTGTGCTTGGAAGTGCCACGTGCTGGGATATGAGAGATCCTCGTGCTGCAGGTGGAGTGTGATCCAAGCCACTGGGATTGTCCTGTGCTGGGAACAAAGGTGGCCTTTGGAATGTGAGGGTCACACATTCCAGCTGGGACAAGGGGAGAAGCCCAAGGCAGGAGCAGCACATGAGGATCCCTCCCCTGCACTTCCTCAGGAAGCCCAATTCCCATGTCATTCACACTCAAAATCTCCTGGATTTTGAGCTGGCACGGCCAGTGTCCCCTCCTGGTGTGGGTCCAGCTCATACCCAGCCCAGGGTGACACAGGGACGGGGCCGACTCTGAGGCCTGGGCTGAAAACCCAATTTGCTGGGAGCAAAGTGGCTCTGAGGGACGTTGTGCAGATGCTGTTCAGCTGCTGGGGGTGGGAAACAGCCAAAGGTTTGGACACGGACAGAAAGCATGTGTCCAGGATTTCATGTGGAGCACCAGGTAGTTTGTTATTCCCACCTCACGCTCCTGTCGAGATCCTGGACAGACGTTTTAAACCATTCCTAGGAAAATTCAGCGTTAAGGTGGATGCACCTCCGTGTCCTCACTGTGGGCCATTTTGCACGTGGCAGTGCAGTTTTCCAGCAGGGAATTGCCTGCTTAACCACTGGCAGCTTAACCAGTTCTGTTTGCAGAGGGGCTGATGGGCAGGCACAGCCTTGGCCTCTGCCGGGGGTTTAAGACCCCTGTAATTTACTGTGATACAGAAACATGATTTTAGTGTGACAGAGACAAAACAAACCTACAGCTCGGATGGAATTGATTCAGGAAGGGAATTCTTCAGTGACTGGCTGGGCTGGATGAGGGCGATCCCTGCCCTGCAGCAGGAATGGGATGGGTTTCCCCTCCTCGTCACTCCCAGCTCCCTGGGTTGGGTGATTTGCTGCGTGTCTGTGTTGGTGATGCCTCTCCTGGGCACACAGAGGTGTCTGACAGGAGGCCTGGTCCCATTCCTTATGTTTTTACCACTGAAAATAGTTCTGGGAGAAGAGGGAGGGCTGTGGAATGTGCGTGCTGAACCCCGGGCTGGGTTTGGGAGCCAGCAGGGCAGCCTGGGACTGACCCGGCCAAATCTGAGCAGCAGGACAGGAGGTGACCAGCACCCACTCTGGGCTGCTTTTCCCCCTTGGAATACAGAATTCCAGCCTGTGCTGGGAGCTGCCTTGGCCGAGGGCTGCTTTAAAAATTCATCCAGGCTTTCCCCGCAGCCGCGGCGGCAGCGCAGACAGACAATGATCTCAGCCCCCCTGAAACCCGAGATGGGGCCTTTTGTTTCCCTTCAGAAAAAAGCACTCCCTGGTCCTCCCAGCTGATCCAAACCCAGGGCTGGGAGAAAACTAGAAGGGGGAGAGAGGAACTGTGCTGGTTTCCTGCCCACGAGGAGGGCACAGACACTGCCCGGCTGCGGGCTGGGCAGGGAATTCACAGGGAATTCACAGGGAATTCACAGGGAGTTCACAGGGAGTTCACAGCATGCATCCCTTGCCAGTACAAACATCACCCAGGGGGAAAGCAGATCTTCTAAAAACGATAAAAACACCCCTTGTCAAAAAACGGAGGCAATTCAACAATAGCAATTACACCAGAAAATGTAAGGCTTCGACAAATCCGCGCCCTCAAGTAAGGAATTCCGGGTCTGTACAGGGAATTCTGGCTATAAAACTCCAAAATTAACCCTCAGTTCATGCTAAACATCCAGTTTGGAACTACAAAAGTGAAGCAAATCAGGATTAAAGTGGGATTTGGGGCACTGGAGCTGCTCTGGATCCCAGCCGGGAAGCAGCCCAGGTTTGGTTGTTCCATGGCAGCACCACGTGGCTTTAACTTTTTTGCTGAATGTTTGGAAGCACCCAGGAGACCAATCCCCTGGGAGTTCTGAGGTTTGGGAATCTTACAGAGGGTTGGGACGGAGGGAGAACAGCCAATCTCTGCCCTGAGGCTCATCCCTGACTGCGGAGGCTCTCCCGAGGCAGGGCCAGAACTTCCCCCCCCTTTTCCATCACTGAGCTGTTCCAGGGGAATTGCCTCTGTGGGAAGGGCTCCAGGAGCAGCCTGGAGGCTGCAGGGGCAGGAGAACCAGGGGCACTGCACAGGGAAAATGGGATAATGCATATTGCAGGGAGGAGTGAGTTACATTCAGAGCTGACAGAGGTGAGGAATCTGTGCCCTCTGAGGGAGCTCTCCCAGCTCCTGGCCTGTCCCAGGAATGCCTCGGGACACCCCCCGGGCTGGGGAAGGAGGACAGAGCTGCAGGTGCCACATCCAGCCCTCCCCCATCAGTGATTCCTGCTCCAGTGGGATTGGGTGATTCCAAACACACAATTCCACCTTGGAGTGACTTGCAGAAATTCCTGTTTTTAAGACTCGGCCCAGTCCAGCACTGGCAGCACTGCTGGAATCACTGCTGGAATCACCTGAGGCTCCTCCTCTTGCCAGAAGAATTTGTACTTCTTTCAGCAGGAGACTGAGCTGGGAGGGGGTTCAGGATGCCCAGGATTACTGAGCATCAGGCCAGAAACAGCAGGAAAATGCTTCCCAGGGTCCTGAGACCATCCCAAGGCTGTGGACAGACAACCAGGGGGCTACAGATCCCAAGGCTCCTCCCTGGGAACCACCTGCCCTTCCAGCACAGCCCCTGGGGGCACTGACTGGGATCAGGAACACCCAGGAACTGACTGATCAGTCCATGGATTGATCAGCAACACCCAGGGCTGTGCCTGCAGGGGCTCCAACTCGGCAGGGAATCTTTGACAAGGGGAGAATTCGGCTTTCAGCTTGCTTGG